AACAGTCAAATCTCTTAATATTCATTTTCTGAACTTTCTTCAAACAGCAAACTTCCTTGTTTTGTTTCAGTACTGCAGGCAGTGTGTGGAGGGAAGTTCACATTGAACCTCCCTCATTTATACAAACTGCAATCCAAATTTTAGTGAATTTTTTTTCTTTTTTTTTTTTTTCCTTTAAAGAATCTTTTCACAGAAGAAACCAATGACTTAATTCAGAAGAATACAGGCTAGCCACTTCCCTGGAAAGCAAGTAAAGCCCCAGATGGGTCTCCCTATAAAATATGCAGTTACTGGGGAAGACAAATCAAGCAACATTGCGCAGTTTTTTGCAATATCAGTTGGATAGCAGCATAAAGGTGCTTTCCTGTCTGAACCAGAAGCAGCTCACAGGACTACACGATACAATAAATTTGTGAAATGTCTCTGGCAATACAAGATACATCTGACATCTTTTTCTTTTCTCTTTTTTTTTTTTTTTTTTTTGAATAACATGAAAACTGTCAGAAAATTTATTCATTTCCAGCACTAGGGTGTTTCACACTCCCCTGGGACTGATGCTGCTATCCCACTGTTTGGGCACATTATCCGTTTGCTTCAGGCCACAGTGGAGGGTGGGGATTTCTCGCCCATGCCCCAGGCAGCTGCCGCAGAGGTGACCAGCACAGCAGCATTTAGCTTTGACATACAAACTAAATCCACAGTATCAGGTAAGAGGGGAAAAAAAATGACTGACTGCAGAAAAAAAGCTTCCCAGGCCTATTCAAATAACTATTAATGAGAAAATACAGCAAAGTGAATGCTGGAAAGTCTATAGGATACACTGCTTTGATATTTTAAGGGGCTCTTCTATATTTGACATCCTCCCACCTAAGTACAAAGCCACTACTTTAAATATTAAACAGTAGTATAACCATTCTAGTGTCCTTTTGTGTTCCAGCATAATGACAAGATGCCATATCCTCAAGGATAGATGCTTCTGCCTTTTAACAGTAGAACATTCCCCCCCACATGAAAACACTGCCGTCTCTTGGCTTAGAGGGAAAATAAATAATATCTTTTGTTCCAGTAACAGATTTAATGCCATGATGATCATACAATTTTGCCATGTCTTCAGACATATCCTTCTCATCCCTCTGATAGCCTTCTGTCATTAGATAATCATAAAGTCAACATAACACAGGCATTAAAGAAATATCCTTAGAGGGAATAAAGAACACATAGAGCTGCCAAGGCAGTTGAGCATGAAAAGACCAAGTCACCCTTGGATCTCATATATGTGTGCATGCATGCATGCACATCTGTGTAAGTTTGAAATAGCAGGGCCTAGGTATTTTGGGGACAAATTTTTACTCAGCCCACTTGGGGGTGGTAAGCCATGTACATTAAATCAGGTTCTGACCTAAGGAGGCAAAAAAAAAAAACAAAAAACCTGCAAACAAAATGAAAAAAGCTGCCAAACAAAACAGCTCTGATTTCTGCACTGGCAGCCCATGTACCTTGTTTAGCCACCAGCTTTACTGAGTAAACAACCAATGAGGGAGGAGACAGAGAAGATGGAGCAGGGTTAAAGCAGTTCCTTGAAACAAGATGCCATAGTCTGAACTTCTTCTCTACTTTATTAACAGTAAACCAATAACAAAAATTACTATAAAGAGTAATTTATCAGCTATCAGATGTGGAAACTGCTTTAAATGTCCATTGAAACTGCTGGCCAAAATGGGTAAGTCTGATATTTCTCTGTTTCCAGGAAGTAGCTGTCAAAATATGTGTTACAGCTTTTCACCCACCTGCATAGTCACTAGGTAATTTTAATCACATACAGCTGTTTATGCAACTTTAATGGTGTTTTTCCTACTGAAACATTAATATTTCCTGGTGAAGAGTCTGCTGGTATAAATCATTTTGAGAAGTACAGCCAATTAAAGCAGAAAGTTTGTGCACATTTTGCTAAGTGGTTCCTGAACATAAAATTGTGGAACAAATACTGACCTCCTTACATATTTACACGCCTCATCTGCAGATCAGAATGAGCAAATCACGATGGTACACACAATATGAGTGGCACTAGGATTAGTCTGAAATCCTGGCTTGTTCAATAGGTTTTTTTTTTGTTGGTTTTTTTTTTTCATTTAATTTAAAGCTCAGAGCAGTGAGATTCCTCAGTATCTGATGTCTGCAGTAGCCCTGCCTCACCTCTACCAGGACAGCATTGCAACACAGACTCCATTCTGAGACCGAGCCATACACAGTTGCGGGAATTATTTTATTTTATTTAAACATATCACAGCAGGACATCCCATTTTAGAGATCAGATGCTCCAAGGTGCTTGAACAAAGCTGAAGCCACTGCTTTAATTTAACCCTCCTGCAAAGTCCAGCTACCAGCCAGAGCAGGCTCAGTCCCACCGCCTTCTTGGAGGCATCGTGCTTCAAGCAAAGCAGTTCTTAGCTGCATATGCCTATTAGGGCTCCTATGCTCAAAATAGAAGTGGAACAGACAACCAAGGTAATTTAATTTACAAAGATAATTCAACCTCAATATTGACACCCCCCAAACGAATCAGTAGTGACAAATGCTCAACCTTTTTCTAATGAAAAGGGAGCCCTGTGCTTGTTATGCTTATTCTTCCCTCACTGCTCTGCACAGCACTGATGTTTGTACCTGATTCTGAGCTTATTATTTATTTGATTCTGAGCTATTAGTACTACAAAGCATGAAGGAGAACAGGAAAGAGCTCCTTTTATTTAATTCAGCTCTCCAAAGGCATATTTAATCTTCTGGAGGTTTTTCCTTGCTGTCAATAACCTAAAAGACAAGTCTCAACATTTCAACTCGCACAAGAAGAAAATCCCTCTCTCCTTCCTCTCTGCCCCCAGCTTGCCTCCTTGCAGGGCATATAAGCAAGATAACAAAACAGCTCCCATAGTGGTAGCGACTTGAGACATAAAAAGGAGACAGCCCCCCATGACCAAGCTTCCCTCTCTATGAGCTGGCACTTCGGACATCTGTTGTAGGCCACTTTTCAGAACACACAGTCCTTTAAAGTGTTCCCTGTTCACAAAGTGGAAAATAACATCTTTTGCTCAAAATCAGTGATCCACAGCTACAATAATATCTAGGCTCTTGCCTGATAGAGAGGATGGAATATGGAAGATTATTGCATTCTACACCTCAGACCTTGTTGTTCACTCTGCAGCAAGCTTTCTGCTCGCTTGCTCTTACCATGCTCAAAATGAGAAGTGTGCACCTACATGGGCACACTTGCCTGAGTCCATCCCTCCTTGCAGTGGCTGCCATTGCTTTTACGGAATCAGGTTAAATAGGTCAATTCTCCCTCCTTCTTCCCACAAAGCACAACAGTGTCCTAGACCTGCCAAGTGAATGAACTTACCCACTGCTAACAATGACAGATCTGAGCTAGATTTCCTGCAGTTTTTAACCGGGCATCTGAATGTGGTGCTACTAGTGATGGATGTAGCTCTGACTTTGTTCATCTCACTTGTAAACTTTCGAGCAGTTCCCCAACAACGTTGACTCTACCTTTTCCAACATCTGATTTTGTGGCTGAGCTTAACATATACATCCTAAACTCTTGGTTTAGTAACATGATGTCATTGGTGTCATTCACTGCTCTGGTCAACCTTGAAGCGTGATATTAATGACCGCTTCCCCAACTCGCACTTGTTCCAGTAGGCTTGAATAGGACAAGGAGAGGCAGGCAAGGTCTCCTTGCTCTGTAGGTTTTTAGTCCAATCTAATTGAAAACATTCACCAATTCACTGAAAACCTTTGCAAAAATGTACATGTCCCATGCTTTAAAATAATCTCCAAAAACAAATAGCTTAATATGTTTTTAGATTGGCTCCTTGAATTGCTTGGGAATGCATTTGTGATACTGCTTCAGAGCTGCTGAACCAGAAAAGCCAAGCCTCTTTTGAACTATTTTGTTTTTGTTGTTCTCGTTAGTGCCTTTATTTTCTTGTCTAAAAGCTAACACGGAAAACCACTCTTGGTTCTCTGACATGCCCAGAAGTGACAGGACAGCTCACTGCAAACAGCCAGCTCTGGTCACCTTGCGTCGAAATTGGGTCAGCGACTCCAGCATGCCCAAGTAGGATGCAATTAATATTGGAGAATCAGATGCTGAGGATGCTTTCCTTGCAGGGAGACCTCAAGGAATTCAGCTTTTGTGCTCCAAGAAGGAGCAGCCTGGTGGAAACTAAAGCACATCGGAGCCTAATTCTTGAAACAGCTCCTATCTCTGGGAAATAAGTCAGGGACTGCGTGCAAGCAGCCCAGCTAGTTCAACTCCCAAATCCTGCCTGTCGCAGCAACCATCCCTAAATGCCTCAAGAAAGGCCCGACCTCATCTCCAAATGCAGAGCGCCTTTAAGCCGTACAGTCGAGAACCAATTCCTCCAGGGTTCTAACAACCAATTAAGGCATGGGAAGCAATTACTTTTATATCCATACAAATGAAACTCCTCTAATGCAATTAACTAGCCCTTATCATCTACTATTGAATTCGTGGAAAGCATATGCTGTACATTCTCTCCTCCCCTCGCTTTGCCACAATTTTCATCAGTTTGTTTTAGCTAATGTAATGGAACCTACCTATTCTAGGGAAATAATAAATGGTTCAAGATTATCTGAATAATTTTAAATGTCTTTTTTTCTATTTTAAATACAATTTCATGTGAGATTTTGCAGCTTTCATTTCTATTAATAAATTATCATTTCTTCTTTATAAGTGATGAGCTACTGTGTCATGTAATTTTTTCTTCTAAATAGACCAAGACTTTGATCTAATACAAGCCCTTGCTGGGAGTAGAGAGACTTTCTGTCTAATTTAGTTATGAAAAATATTCAATTAAACTAGGGAGTTTAATTCATTTAGTTATGAAAATTAAATGAGCTCAATAAGGTACATTTGATTTGCCTCAGGAAAAAAAATAAAAAATAAAAAAAAGAGAGAGAAGAATCGCTGGGCAGTCACTTACCGTTTTTGCAGATGGGACAGCACTGATCAGGTTCATAAACTGGATCCACACACTCAGTCTGGGGACAAGCAGACACCGTGCACAGCACTTCGCCATTGGCTTCACAGCGGCATTTCTCACAGGGAGAAACCTGAAACGCAAATCCATCAGCTTTTAGTACCTCCACTCCCCGAAACCACACAGTTTCTAACTTCCCAGCAGCACCGTCCTTTGCTTTACCTCTTCTTATTTCCCCTTCCCTTTATAAAACAAGTGCTTTTTTGTGTGTCCATGTGGTTTGAATAATGTGGAAAAGGAAGCTGCTCCTGCAAGGTTAGAGCACGGCAGCAGAACAGACCACAGCTTCTGCTCTGAATTGGTGTCCCAAATGCAAATATTAAAGGGATGATGGAAAACAGTCTGATATGTCTGGAAAAAGATCCTGTGAATTCAGGTATTGCTGTAAGTTAGCAATTTTTTTTCTGTTTTTTTTTTTTGTTTGCTTGTTTGTTGTAATTGTTTGAAACTTTTCCAAAAATAAATTGTAATCTAATGAACAAGGATGAAGCAACAAGAGCAGGGACATGCTTTTTATTCTACTGAGATTTTACTGAACTGCTGAAAGTTTAGAAAAGCTCTGTAGCATAGTAGTGCAATGACAATTACTTGACCAATGGCCTCCAATAAAACTAATTCCAAAAAAAAAAGGCCCCATTTAGAACTGAAAGAACTGGTAAAGGCCTGTGTTTGCTCCCTGTCCATTTCCAGCTGTCCTCTTTGGTGCTTGTGCCTCGGCCCTGCATGCTGAACCTGCAGCAGCTTTGCACCACACAAGGAGAAGGAGGGAGAGGAAAGCAAAGGGACTGATGATGGGTCAGTGCAATATTGTAAAACTCTCTGTCAAGCTCCAAAACCATATCGGCTTCCATACTCACAGCAGAGAAGGAAATGTGGTTGAATCTTATTACTAGAAATCTTCATAATTTATAATCTGTACAGATTCTGGTTTTGAAATAACCATTTATTTCATGGACTCAGTAACATTCCAGACTCCAGCTAATGCCATGTAAGTCATTTTCTGTATTTCTCCAACAACATAAACAGAATAACCTCTAATCCAGAAAAATTTCTTCACAGAGAAAAATCACTCAGACCTCTTAACTTTCAGGCTTTATGGTTCTTCTCCCTATTTCCTAGGCAGCCTTGCACATCATTTGCTTGCATCCATAAAATCATGGAATCATTATGGTCAGAAAAGATCTTCAAGATCATTCAGTCCAACTGTAAGCCCACCACCACCATGCCTGCTAAACCATGTCCTTAAGTGCCACATCTATGTGTTTCTTGAACGCTGCCAGGGACATGCTCTGCTTGCTTGTCTCTCTCATCTTCCTTGCTTCCCAAGTCCAGAAGTGCTGCTGCTTGCACTGTTATCTCCAACCACGTGCTTGCCTGGGCTTTGCCACTTCTCTTCTAGCACTGTTCACTGCTAATGCTCTCATGCATCTCCTCCTCTTGCCATCCTTTCTGCTCAGAAAGACTAAACAGGGTCTTTGCTTTCGTTACTCCTTCATTTCAGAATTCCTTTGCTACCTAGTCCCAGCCTGATCTCTCTTCTCTTACTCTCGCCCCAGAATATGAGTATCCTATATAGGATAAAAATGCTACAGAGTAGGTGCACAGGCCAATGCTGCAGATCTTTGTGGCAGGGTTTGGGACAACTGCTTTGTCTTGTAATTAATTTTAAGCTGCCACATTCACTTGTAGAGCTGTAATCGCAGTGGATGGGGAGATTTCTGACCCAATTTTCACAGTCAAGAGGCTCAGCCATTGCAGGTAACCACAGACACTGCATGAGAAATTTTGAGTGCCTGGGCAAATTAGAGTCCCTAACTATTTACAAATCACTAAGAACCCTTTCCTCTGGAGTTATATTTACAAACTATACTTACTGAATCACGAGAAGGTGCTCTTTTGATTTTCTCTGCTTTTTAAAGAATCCTGCTTGATCAATGAGGCCCTACTGGACCTCATCCCAATGATCAAGCTCAACGAGGCAAATTATTGCTTTCACTTTGTTTCAGTTTTTGTTGTCACCAACTTGAAAAATTATGCAATAACATGCCCAGTAAGTACAACAGAAATTCCCTCTCCCACAACTCCACTTAGTGGCTGTGCAGCTCAATAATGATAACTGGGAAAGAAGGCAGCACACAGATGGTGGGAATAACACCTCTCATCTGTAATATTTAAACATATTGTAATTAAGTAGCTTGTTTACTAGCATAACAAATTTGACAAAAGCATAAAATCCTTTGAGCAAGAAGCCTTTAAAAAATGAAAAACAAATAAAAATAAAAATAAAAATAAAAATAAAAATAAAAATAAAAATAAAAATAAAAATAAAAATAAAAATGTCATGGAAAGTCCTGAAACAGACAAGAAAAATGCTCTCCTCCGTCCCAGAGGGTTGCGTTGGCTGTAAGCAGAGCTGTCTGCAGATCCCTGCTGTTCCTTCATCCCAAGGAACACAGTTCAGTGAAGAGCTACACCTGGCCTGACCACCTCACACATGAACCATGTGTGGGAAAGCCACTAACCACCTTGACACAAAGCACAACCAAGGAGCAGATTCTGATCCCCCAAAATCCACCATTTCTCCATGTCTTTTCTCCAGTTCTACAATGCAGCTTTCTACATGAGAGAGCAGCTTTTGTGGTTGTGCATGGGATGACATGCACAGCACACCAATATGAGTGATGGCAGTAGATGGTAGTAGAATCAAGTAAGCTTTCTATGCACATGATTTTTATAAAGCTATCTTCAAGTACATAAGTGAACCACAGGAGTTGCTAAAATAGTATCAGTGTCAACGTTTATCTGCGTACTTCTGGACTAAATGACAACACATTGCTTTTAATAGATCATCAAGCCGCAACAGAAACTGATCAGAAACAGAAAACATCACTTCTTTCCTCATCTTAATAGCACCTCAACACCTCGTGGCATAATCATCACTAAAGAGACGATAACGTAGTGCACATACAACAGCAGTTAAATAAATCATAATGAAAAGACACTTTTGCTATTTAATTTTCTCCCTTCCACTCCTCAAAACCAGTTATGTGATGAACATCCCACGGGTTCACTTGGGATGAACCACTGGCCTAGTACAACTCACACTTCACACATTTCACAGAGCTAGGAAGAGCTGGAAAGAATAAGACCTGTCAACCTCTCTCTAAAGCCAAATGATATAATGTCTCTGTACAAACCCACACTTTTATGTTTGAAGTTATTAATTCTGGGACATTGGTAGTTCTGCCTACACCAATACTGAGCAAGGACAAGGAGAGGCACCAAAGCCTCCAGTATCTACCAGGCAGGCATAAAACCTGCTGAAAAGGGTTGCGCAAATGGCAAAATCACAATCTCTTTAGAATTGTTTAAAGGGAAGTTTATCAGCAGACGTGTAAGTGTTTCGCTGTGGAGCTGCAGATGTAGTAAAAAAGCAAGTGCGCAAATGTAAACAGATAGGTCACCCACTAGTGACACATGGAAAAAAGCTATAGCTTGGTTTGGCCAACAGCTAGTATCAAGCGTCAAAAATTAAATGCTACAAGTAATTTACAGTGGTTGAAGATCGGGTGCAAGGTATAATTTCAGGTTTCTGTTCCCATTTTACACATGGTAAACATGAATTTAAAAATAAAAAAAAATCATAAAAAAAATCCAAAACTTATACAATCTATACTAGATTTCTTGAGGCTTGAAAAAGAGACCACATTAAAAAAAAACCCCATAATCCTAAGCTTATTTGCTATGGCACTGGAATTTCTAGCAATATTTGCTTTCAACTTTCACCTCTCAGGTGCACGTGAACGACATTAAGCTGACAAGAAACAAACCTCTGTAAGGGAAGAGTGGAGCCTTGTCACCACAGCTTAAGAAAATTTCATCCCTCCTCTCACATCTATGGTTTGCTTGTTTGTTTGCTTTCCCCCTGCTGCAATGAACATGCACGTGTTATTTTAAAAAGGAAAAACACAGGCACGTGCACGCACAAAGACATGCACAAGCACAGGCTGCAGGAACAACTACAAGTTGAAGGCAAAACTCATCAAACCTCCCATTCCCTGGCAAACCCAGCATCTGAGGTAGCACTTGGTCCTGTTAAGAACATATTTTGGCATATCAAAGCTATACACATATTTTATAAGAGCAAAACCCCAAACTTGCATGTACACATAATGGCTTGCACAGATAATTTCACCTAAATAATTTCACCTAAATAAAGTCAGATCACTACCCACTTGTAATTCTTGCCCTGACCTTAATCACGGGGCAGCATATTACCAACCTCCGTGGGGCAGCCGGCCCTAGACTTGCAGGCAGCGCGCAGTTATTTGCACTGCAATCGCTCCTGCTCTGCAGCGACGCTTCGCCCAGCGCCTCCGCTGACTGCGGTGCTGGGGCTGCCACCCGCGAGCAGAGCAAAGCAGAGGCGATTCCCAAGGGCAGCCGAAGCTGGGATGCCTCTGTACATGCTGTGTGTGGGCTTCGGTATCAAAGTTTAAAAGACTTCTTGCTGTGGGCACAGTTCCCAGGGCTGTTTTCCACATGCCCAGGTGAACACTTAGAGGCTGCTCACAGATCTGGGCTCCAGTAAGAGACTTAGAGGGGAAAAGGCAAGGCAAGCAATGACAAAAACCGGCCCCAACTCCCAAACTTTTCAGTGCAAGCTGCATTTTCAATGATAACAATTTGCATCATGGTGCTAAAAAAGACTCCACTTGAAGAGGATTTCTCTAAAGATAAAGCTGTAGAATATTTAAAGTTTCACTGTAATCCAGACTTCAAACTATACTCTTACTAAGAGCAAGGCCCTTATGAGAGAAAATATTACATAATCTTGACAGCCCATTTTAAAGAGCCAAAAAGGAAAAAGCAGAAACGAGTTGCAGGAAAAAGGTACCAGTACCTCCTAAAATGCTCGGAGTAGAAAAACAGCCCCCCTGCAACACTACTTGATCTATGCAAGGTGGAAGTTGCATGGTTAACGTAAGGTAAAATAAGGTAACAAATGCAGCGTGAGGAATTCCCTAACATTCCCATCAACAGCAAGCAGCATCACTGAGAGTTACATTTTTCCCTGCAAATGCCAGAGGACTTTAATAAAGACCAGTCCCCTTCTTCTTAAATGTTAAAGTATGTAGCAAGAAAGGTCGCGTTGCAGGGAAACATTTTACAGCAGTGCAGATGCAGTATTAATGAAAAAAAAAAAAAAAAAAGAAAAGAAGGGTGGGGGGAAGCTCCGAAAAAATGAAAGCATTTCAGGGGTATAACATGGTATAACATTTGGCAGGATGACGTGATGAAGGGCTCAGTCCCCCCACTCCTTACCATGAACTCCTCCAGGGTCTGGTAGGTTTTCCCGCGGAAGTCGCAGTAGTTCTTCCTCTCCTTGCACTGGGGGCAGCACTGCGTGGTGTCCACGTGGACGCAGCGTGGGTGCAGCCGGGGGCACTCGGGCTGCATGCACAGCGGCCCCTCTTCCGTGCACATGCAGGGGCAGGCCGAGGGCCCCGGCGCGAACTTCTCGCCGATGGCGTACACGAAGCCGCTCTCGTCCACGCAGCCCTTGCCGCGGTAGTCGGGGTACGCGTACTCCTCCGGCGGCTCGGGGGTCACGCTGGCCACGGCCTCGGGCAGCGCGGCCTCTTCGCCTGCCCGCAGATCCTCGGCGGCGGCATCGGCCCTCGGCTCCTGCGCTTGCAGGCTCGCCAACTTGCTGCTGGTGCCCTGGCTATTCCAAGCCTGCTTTTGCTTAGTCCAAGACTCCTTGTTGGAGTAGCTCCTGCTTCCTTTGCTCTTCCAGTTTCTGGTGCCCTCCTCCCTGCCGCTCCTGCCGATCTCGTTCATCTTCCCGGTGCCCGCCTGACCATCCCTTGTAGATGTGTGATCCCTCTTTTCCTGGCTCGCTTTTATCTCCTGCTTTTCTTGAGCCTTCGCCAGCTTCTGCACGGGGATGGTGGAGCTACAGAGGGCAACCATGAGGCAGCAGGTCACGAGGAGCGAACTGGAGAGGGCTCCAATTGCCATTGCAGTGGAGCTGGGCATCGCCTACCGCATCCCACAGGGGACAGCGCGCTCACATGGGAGGCGATGGCCGCACGGCGCCGCGCGTCCTGCCAAGAGAGCGATTAGGCACACTTCAGCCCGGGCTCCGCTCCCCCCTGCTCGCCCGCGCCGGCGCGGCATCCCAAACCGTGCGCGACCTGCCTCCGGACTTGATGCAGGAGGCAAGCAGCAGCCTTGTGCTGCATCCCTCCTCCTTCGCCGCCGCCTCCTCCTCCTCCCTGCTCTCTGAAGCCTTATAAATAGCAGGGCTGTGGCTACCGAGCCCGGCTTCTTCGGCTCCTCCGTCAAAGTGCCGCACACAACTCCGGGGAGTTCGGCTTTGCAACAGCAGGTGCACGCAAAGAAAATCCCAGCGGTTGGGCGCTGTTATTCCTTCCAAGTGGCGCCACGTGAGCAGGACGCACGCCGAATTAAATGCAGCTCCCTAAGCCACAGCAGGGTCCAGAGCTGGATTCAGACAGCCCGAGCCCCCTCGCCGCCTGCACGCACTAGAGTTTTCCTTAACCTCCTATCCATTCCGAAGCGCGTCTCCTTTCCATACCTGCGGGGGAGCGCGTTTCTCCCCAAATCCAAGCGCCAGCAGCGCATCAGGGCGCGCAGGGCGAGCCCTCGGCTCCGCACCAGCTCCCGCCGGGCCCCCCCGCCGCGTTTCAGAGGCGAAGCGGAGCCCGCAGGAGTTTCCGCGGCGGGGGACGGATCAGCGCCGGCCGCTCACTCCGAATCGCGGCCAAACGCGCAGCCCCGCGCACGCTCCCGCGGCGAGCGAGCGCGCCCCAGCCTCCCGCGGGAGCGGCGGGCGGCTACTCCAAGCGCTTGCCGCGTCCCTGCCTCCTTCCTTCCCTCCCTCCCTGCGTCCCGGTCCTGCCCGCGGCCGCCGCGGGACCCGCGCTCCGCGACGGCGCCGGCAGCCCCCGGCGCTGCCCGCCCCAACTTTGCGGTGGGCCGGGCCGGGCCGGGCCGGCCGCCCTCACCCCCTCCCCAGCACGTGTGCGCGGGGGTCCAGACCCCCCCACCTCGGGGCCGGCTCCTTCCTACCTGCGCCGGAGCCGCCTCAGCGCCGGCTCGGGCAGGGGCGCGCTCCCATGGCGAGGCTGCGGGCGGCAGCGCCTTGCTGCCCTTCCTCCTCCTCCTCCTCCTCCTCCTGCTGCTGCTGCTGCTGCCGCGGGGCCCTGCGCAGCCCCCAGCCCGCCCGCCCCCGCCGCTGGGACCCCGCGCGGGCAGCGCCCGAGGCGCCGCCCAGGGGCTCAGCCTAGTGGAACCTGGGCAGGTGCCTCCCTCGGAGAGCGGGAGCGGTTCTCCGGACAACAGCGAAAACTGCTGGATCCCAAGGAGTTTTCCACGTTTCGCTGTTAAGCATCTCCACGAGCAGCTGCTGTTTGTGAAATCCCAGGTACTTAAACTCTAGTACCCGCATCCTCCTCTGTAGGACTCTCTTGGCTGCTCAGTTCTCTCTATGAGCTTCTGACAATTCTTGTCCACTTTACAAAATTATTCCTGCTAACATCATCACTCATAGGCTCACCAGATAAACCAGATTTATTCTTCTGAAACTTTTAAAATGGAAGAACCAAGTTCTGAAGGATACAAACAAGGCAAATGTTTCCACAGTTTACCCTAGTACAATGCAATTCCAGACTGCCCTGGGGCTTCTAGACGAGGCATCACAGCTAAGGGAGGCCTTTCTCAGTGTCTAACTAATAGTCATTAAGATGTATTTCTCTCTAAATGACTATCTCATCAACTCTGAATAATGAAGTAAATCTTTGCCTTTTCTAGAATCAGTCATTTATGCTTTATATAGCTTAAATCCTTGCATGGGGTAAGGCAACCGGTGCACCCCACAAGCAATTTTTCAAGAAGAGCTTGAATAACCATCACTGCTTTACTTACAAACATGCAAAACTTTGCTTTTAAGCAGCAGCTACTTGTGGCTGGAGCAATGCAAAGAGGGAGAAGATCCCAGAAGACAGTGGAGAAGAGGAGAAAGATGACAGTTTATGCTTCCAACATTTTCACATGTTTTCAGATGAAACTTTGCTACAGAAAGCAGAACATTTTCAACATTCAGCACTCTTCTTGTTGGAGAGCTCTATCTCTCCCCCATCAAGTTATACAGCACATAGATCATCCAGGGCTGAAGGTTCACGCTATCGTTGCATGAAAGGCAGAGCCTTAGAGCACATCCATAGCCACAAGTCCCAGGTCACCTTAGCCTTCCTAGCACTGTTACATTAAGATGAATACCCTCTTTTTTTATCCTAAAAGATTTCTCATTGGACTTCAGCCTCTATTCATCCAGATTCATAGGTATATTAAGTGATGAATGGTGTCTGATACAAGGTCCCCTGAAGAACTGAGACTGGACCACTTCATTAGCATGACAGGATCAAACTGCAGTATATTATAGTCCAAATAGCAGATATGGGAGAAATGCTCAGTATCTTTTCCTCAGTGTAGATTCTCGATTAAAGAATAGAGAAACAAGAGAACTGATTATTTCATGGCCATTTTAAACAGCTATTTTAATGAGAATTTCATAGGCTTGGTATCACAGAGAAAGAACTTGAGGCTGAAACCCATATGCAGAATATCACAGAATAGTTACAGTACAAGAACAGCGGGTCCACGTTTCTGCACTCGGCTCAATCAACTTAGGAAGAGCAGCAACTACAAACTGCGTCTCTAGATGATGATCAAGTCCTGCATCTCCAATCAAGGTTCTTTCTGCAGAGTCCTGTCTGCATGGGAGCATCACATAGCTAAGTCAGAGTTGCAGTGTGCCTGCTTGTTTTAAAATGGTCTCATCTATTTTTGTCATAGTTCTACTAGGAAATGGCTAGAGCCGAAACAAAAATAAGCTTCATCAGCCAAAATCAAAATGGTACTGGTGAGGAGTGATTTAAATTAAACTGGTAACGATGACCATCTTCCTTAGACCAGGCTTGAGATATGGACTGTTAGAATGGACTTCCACACCAAGGAGACTTGGTGTCTCCTTCCACACCAAGAAGATTAAGAAGACTGCACACCTGAAAAATACTTTTGAGGGTCATCTCATTGCAAATAATAAGACCTCCAAATATAGGATATATCTTTTACCAAGTTTAAAACCACTTGCTTGGTTCATAACAAGCAAATCAGAAAATGTCACAGGTATGCAATGGTTTCATCAGGACATCTAAGAGCATTTGAAGACAATCACAGAACTACGCACCGCACCAAAGGAAGACCTTTCTCCAGCCACTGCCCTCCGTGCAGTACGAGGCAGACCACACGCCGTCCTTCCCATCTCCCCTGTTTTAACGCCCAAAACATCCTCTAGTTCTGCATAACATGGAAGAAGGGATTGTGTGGAGATAGCAGGGGAGGAGAAGGAAACAAAGTCACAGGAGAACCTCCAGTGGAAGCCCAGTGGCACCCAGGAGGACCAGGCCAATGTGCAGATAGAAACATGGCAGCAAGATAAAGTTTGGGGGTGGAGGTGGCTGCTGTGCTCACAGGGAGCTCAGGTTGTAACTCACTGGGGACAAGCTGCGCACCATGTGACCCCATCCAAGCACCCAAAAGAGGAGGAAACCGCCCAAAAGAGTAACTCCTCTGGCTCGAGCCCTTGCCAGCTCTGCTAGGCAGGGAAGCGGATCAACATTCCTACTTTTTCTTTGCTTTGTTACTCCTTCTGAAAGGAAGAGCTGTTATCTGAAAGGTGTTTTTTATGGTGGTGCTAAAGTGGCAGTTGTTCAGAAAGGTTCACATCAGAGCTTCAGAAAGGTAGCAATTTGTGGAATAGTATTAGTCCAGCTGTATAAAATAAGGCCTTCAAATAGCAGTCTGTCTGGAAACAGAAAGCGAGAGACAACGCCAAGGTGCACATTACTCTAACAATTCATGAGTGTTTGAAAGACTGAATTATAAATAAGCAGTTTAAACAACTTAAAAAAAAAAAAGCCTTCTACAACTATTTTTATACTAGGTTGGCTTTTATCTTTTCATTTTTATTTCTTCCGTTTTCTTTATGGCACTTGTCAAAGGATGCTGAACACATACTGCTTCGCTTCTTTCTTTTTTCGCTAGTAAGATGTCTATTTAAGTTGACTGATAAGAGCTTATTGAGGAAGTATTACACAAGCTGTAGGTACAGTTGTCTCTCCTCATTAACTGCTTTTAAATTATTTGGTTTATCTCAGATAATGATATGTTACAACATGTTTTCTGCTTTACCTACTGAATACAAGACTTAAAACTGCTCTGTCATTTAGTAGAGGCTCTTCAGTACAAACACTGTCTTTACACTTTGTAAATCACATTTTTTGCATATTAGAAATGCATATTTATGTATGTGTGTGTATATATGTATATATTTTTCTTATTATTTGTAATACAAAAAAACTCCCTAGACAAATTGAAGAAATTTTAGCTTTAGAAGTCCTAAGTTTATGAAATGTCACTCTACAGATGTTTTTGCTGCTACAAATTAATATTCTAAAAACCAAAATAGTGCTTTTTAGAAACCATTCAGTTTCAGCCTGTGATTTCTCTCATTATTAGATGTAAGTAAAAGTACTCTGAAAGTAAAATACTTGTATTTTCAATTAATAATATTCATAAAGAGATGCTGCAAAACATGGGAATGAAGTCTTTTTTTGTTTAAATCTTAACACTAAAAGCTCAAGCAAAAATCATGAAATACATTTTGTTCTTGAAAAAAAAAAAACCAAAAAAACCCGAAATATCAGAGCTCCTTTAAGCTCTGATAAAACTTCAATACATATTTTCTGAGTCAATAAAAATCCCCATTTATGCCTATTAAAAAGCAAAGGAAATGCATGCTACCTTTATGTAATGAAAAAGAATACAAGAGCTACCTGTTTAAATCATTTTTCAGTCACTAAATGTATGATGTATCTCTAATGGAGGTTTTGCTCCCCCCTCATTTTTTTTTTTTTTAAACATTATTCCCTTTTTAACCACAGCAGTTAAATAGTATGAAAACATTGTGCTGTGAAGCCTTTGGTAAGAAAGGAG